GACCGAGAACATTCATGCAAAGAAAAAGACACGTCGAGTTCCGCTTATTTCGGAATTCCTAACTGTCGAGCCTGATTCCCAGTGCGCTCACTAAGATGCTCGTAATTTCCCATGCATTTCCCGAATTACAAAAAGCAGAATTCCAAGAATCAATAGAACCTCCGAAAAATGGGGGCCTAAACAAGGCATCTGAAATCAAGAAAAGCGACGGGGACTTTGTTGGGTCGGCATGATACAAAAGGGGGAATCGAGTCGAGGGGTACGAAAGATAGCACGGGGTCGGGAAGTGGTTCGTCATATATGTGACGCGCACGGGGTTCCAAAACTATGTGATCTCCTGATTGCATGAAAGACCTTGATCAAAGGAAGTGGGAGGAGACGAAGAAGCAGGAAGAAGTAGGAGGCTTAGATCAACACAATTTATGTCAGCAGAGAAAACTGAGTCGGGGTACGAGTTGACGACAACATCCGTGGCAAGATCTTCGTGATGCATGCTGGCTCATGCTGTCTTGGATACCCCATTCTCTGCGGTTCTGTCATATGCAACCCCCTTCCCTTCAAACTTCGGAGATCGTCCAGGTGGCACCATCATGGTCCATCAGGTCTCCGTATGCTCTGCACTCCAGTTCAGCGCAATCCGTCGAATCAGAGCATGTGTTGACGTCATCGTCAATGGTGTGATCTTCGCGAAACTGCTGATTCGAGTTGCTCGGGGGACACATGTCGATGGTCATTGACAAGAAGAGGGTGGGATGCGCCACCGTCGCGACTCGTGGCAGGTATCAGCGCCGCGTGGGAATGGGAAAGTAGACATTGTACATGGAGGGGTGTCGACGGGTCGGACGGGGAGGGTTGGGGGGAAGTGGAGGTAAGTAGCGATCCATCCCTTCCACTGTCACTGGAAGTTCCTCGTAGCGGATGATCCGGTGAAAGAGGGGAAATCGATCGCTGTTGTGAGGGAGGGGGGCGAGGTAATCAGGGTAGAGGGTGGAGAAAGTGCGGAAGAGCGCCGCGCGAATTAGCTCGTGATGGCGGCATGCGGGGATGGTTCCTGTGATTACGCAGTAGACTTCTACTGCGTTGCTCTGCTCCCACGCCGCACTAAACAAAAGGACATGCAGACAGAACGCGGGGGTTGCACATTGAAGGGAAGGATGGGGATGGACGGTGACGACGAGGCATATGAAGTAGAAGTGGTGGAAGGTATTGGGGGGGAAGGGGTTGCGAGTGAAGGTGACGGGGGTAGAGATATGACAGAGGGTGAGGTAATCAAGGGGACGACGGGATAATGACCGGGGACAAAGGCCGATCCCCCGCATCGGTACGTGGACGAACTGGGGGACGGGATGAGGTGGAGGGGGAGGGGGATCGGCTTCGTCTCCGTCGCGATGCGCTCGGAGCCGCGGTTGCTGGGTCGCCATCTTCGGGCTTGGGGGGCTCTGGATCCCGGGTCCGGTCGTCGTTGGTGCGCAGGTTCGCTTCGCTGGCGAATTCAAGCTGGTTTTTCCCGGCCGCGATCTCTTCCCTCTTACGTGCCGCCTCGGGATCTTCCGCCTCCGTGCCTGTGCGTGCCACTTCTTCCGGCAAGGCCTCCCACTCTGATCCGGCCTCCTCCTCTTCGTCTTCTTCTCCTTCTTCTTCTTCTTCCTCTTCACTGTGCTCTCCTTCGCTGTGCTCACTATAACTCCCTTCCTCCGACGTTTCTTCTTCAACGTCGCCCTCTTCTTCGGTGACTTCCTCCTCTTCCTCTTCTACCGCCTCCTCGGACGTATCTTGCTTCGGATAGAAGGCAAGATTGTTGATTCCGGACGGCTTCAAGTACTCCTGCCGCGATGGCAGGGCGCTTTCACTCCCCGGTTCCTCCAAGCACGCAGTCCACTGAAGATACGGTGCCAATGTCCGCGTAAGGACGTGCGGAGCCAGGCTCTCGTCACTTTGCGAAATAATATCGAGAGAGAGGTCGTCGACCAATTGCGCGAGCGAGACAACGAGTTCCTGGACAATTAGCTAGCAATGGCCTGGTCGCACCGATCTGAAAAGAAAACCGAGAAGATCGTCCTCTACGTCAGTTCTCCAAGTCTGGATAATCAGCAACTCCAGGTACTCGATACACGCCTGATGCTCGTCGGTCCTTGTCCACGTCACCTCCACTCGGGCTAAGCACACAGACAGATCGACAAAATTCTCGCGCCACACCCGCCAATGCCTAGAATCGAGGAGCGGGACTGCAAGGGGATTGAGCACGAAGAAAAGGTGAGGATGAAAATCGGATTGTCAGAAGGTGGGGAAAAGAGAGGGAAGACCAAAGGTGGAGAAAGGAGCGAGAGGAGCGGCGCGGTTCATTGGGTGCGTTGGAAAGGGACGAGTGTGGGGAGCACCACTGCCGGCTGGCGCGTAGAGGTGCAGATCTCGTCGAAGTCAGTCCCATACGTTGGGACGAGGTTGCATCCGGGGCGCGCAAGACCGTGATGCCACTCAGTCGATAACTGTTGCGTCCACTCCCGTAATGTGGTCTTGATCGCGGTATGCCGAAGCGGGCTGACCGCGCTGATATCGCCGCTGAAGGCAGCGACCGTGGTGACATAGCTCATTCCTGGAGCCTCCCGCCGATGAAAGGCCACCACCTCTGCTAATACTACTGCCTCCGGACTTCCGGCGAATCGGAACGCAGCGGCGGCACACACACCCTCGGTGAAGAAGAACTGCGCCAGTCGTCGAAGATCAGGACTGAGCCGCGGATGACGAACTTGCCGGATCTCCGAGATGTAGCCACGTGGCTGCAACAGATGATTGCCAAGAGCTTGCTCCCTGATGAAACTCATGGCGAGGAAGAGGAAGAAGATGAAAGATAGGAACAAGACGGAGAGAACAAGGCGGGAGCTAGATCGTCGTCATCCTCGTCTTCAGCAGATGAGGGAGACGGAAGGAGATCAGAAGGAGGGAGGGGACAAATGTAAGAGATATGGCGGACGATGGGGACAAAGCTATGGCTGGCGCTTGCCTCGGGCGCAATGCGCACCTTGTTGGCACCGTTGGGTCCGAGCTCAACAATACGCAAACAGCTAGAGAACTTGGAAGCGAGTTTCAGGTCGCGTGCATATTTACGTACCTGCACCAGATCCCCCAATTTATATTGATGTTGGGGACCGGCGTTCCCATTTCGGGCCTCGTAGCTACGGACTTGCCTCCCATGGGCTAGATCAGTCATTTTTTGTCTCTTTCAGGCTAGCTTCGGGACGACTCTTTCCATTAAATAGGCATACCTTTTGGCCTTGGCCTTAAGGGCGGCACGCGTGTCTCTACCCCTAGCTTTGGCAATTTCCGAGTTGCCCCGGTAATCGACACATGGGAGGCTATTGGTGCGAAGCTGAAAGGGGGTGAACCCCGTGGATTCGTGAGGGGTGGCCCGGTGAATTCCGACGATTTGGTATACGATCTCAGGCCAAGGACGCGTGTCACGCGCCGTTAGATTTTTACGAAGGGCAGTCTTAATCATTCGATTGGCATTTTTTGCCAACCCATTCGACAGGGAAAGGTGGGGTGCCGTCTGTGGAAGTGTAATGCCTCGGCGTGCGAGCAATTCCTCCACCTCGCCCTTGAATTCGGACCCGTTGTCGGTTAGAATCTCTTCTGTATCTAGATGGGCATAGAGGAACCGATCGATGTAAATGGCTATTTCTGCGGCCTTACGGGTTTTGCAGGGGTAGACCTCGATGTATTTGGAAAAATGATCTATTCAAACTAAAAGGATGGAATATTCGCAACGGTTTGGGCCAGGTGGCACGTCGATATCTGTCGTGTCCATACTGACTCGCTGGAAAGGGCGCTCTACTTCCGTCGGTACTATCGTGTTTGGTCCCCGTATTGGGGCACGATCGGCGGCACAGACCAGACAGTTGGCGACTACGTATCTGACATCGTCCCGTATATTAGACCAGAACCATCGATTCTGATCTATAGTTGCTTCAGTGACATGTATCGCGAAGTGAGCGGCCTGCTCTTCGTGAGCAGATTGGGTCCAATCATATCTCTGGAATGGATGGGGAACCGTCAACCACAAACCTGATCCGCCAGTTTTACGCTTTTCTAGGTGACTGTTGATCCATCGGTAATCCCGGGATCTCTCGGTAGCCCGACGTCTGTCGTGCTTAGTGAGATGATCCAATGACAAACCAACTAATTTAGCTAATAGAATTTTATCCGTCCAAACTTCCGCTCGTCGGTATTTCTTGTCATATTCAGGGCCGTCCGTTCGGGCAGCCTCGAATCAAACCTCAGTAGGGAGTTTGTCCATTCTACACAGAGGGCACTTCCATTCCCTACTATTCGTTCGGTATCGAACGCATGCACCGTGTGTACGATTGACACACGTGGCACAGTCCACCTAATCAACGAATCCGGCCTCAAAAGGATGACAGTCCACCCCATAAACCCGTGTAATACACGTACAAAAATAGCAGAATTTATCGGGAAGGGTGGCGAAGAAGGCCGAGGAGGCGAGAGGGGCGGAATCAGCAGGGGAAGGAGTCGCAGAGACAGGTGGGGTAGCCATGATGAAAGGGGAGAGGAGAGAGAGAGAGAGAGAGAGAGAGAGAGAGAGAGAGAGAGAGAGAGAGAGAGAAAGAGAGAGAGAGAGAGAGAGCAGGGCTGCAGAGAGGGTAGAGGAAAAGCCCCGTGTCACTCACTCCTTCGACAAAATTTCCACTTGCCCGTACCGCGGTCCGTTCTCATCCTTCGGCTCGTTCCACGGAATCACCTCCTCGCTCTTGAGGACCTTCTCGGGTCGGTGCAATCGTATCAACCCGTCAGCATTCTCGTGCCTCTCGTGCTTCCGATGACGAATGTCAAAGTCCATGCTCTGTAGCACTGTTGCCCATCTCCCGATCATGCCGGAGTAATCCTTCGATTTCTTCAGGGCTAATAATGGCTCATGATCGGTGACCAGCGTGAACTTCCGCCCATACAAATAGGCTCGAAAGTGACTGATCCCCCACAGAGCTGCATAGCATTCTCCTGTCGGGACGGCGTAATTGCGTTTGCAGGCAGGCACCGACTTAGATGCGTATTCCACCACGCATTCGAGCCCGCCTGGTGCCACCTGGGCCAATATCACTGAGATTGCCTCCGGCTGCCAGTCTGTGATGAGGACAAAAGGTTTTGCGGGATACGGCCTTATAAGGACTGGAGTCGAAATAAGAGCTGCCTTGAGTTTCGAAACGCTTGATCACACTCTGACATCCAAATCAACGGTTGATCCTTTTTCAGCAGATTCATGAGGGGACCCGCAATAGCCGCGAAGCCCTTGATAAACCTCCGGTAGTACGAGGCCAGGCCCAGAAAGGCGTGAACTTGCGTGATAGTCGTGGACACAGGCGCGTCTCTCATAGTTGCCACCTTTTGCGGTTCCGGTCTAAGTCCCTGGTCTGTCACCACGTGTCTCAGGAAGGAAATGGTGGTGAGAAAGAACTGACATTTCTCCAGCGCCACCTTGAAACCGGCATCCCTCAATGCATGCAGCGTCCATTCGATGTGCTGCACATGCCCCTCGTAGGAACTCAAATACACCAGAATATCATCCATGTACACAATCACGCAATCGTTGATGACACTCTGCGCCAGATGTGTCTTCCACACAAAGTTCTGGAAAGCCATGTTCATGGCTCACTGAAAGGTTGCAGGAGCATTGCAGATGCCCATTGGACATCGAACCCATTGCCAAGTACCTTCGAACAACAGAAACGCCGTTTTTGGACGATCCTCCTCTCGAACAAGAAGATGATGAAACCCATGTCGAACATCAAACTTACTGAAAATTCGAGCACTTCCAATCGCATCCAACAACTCATCAATCCGTGGAAGGGGGTACACATCTTTGATCATGATATCGTTTAGCTTTCGATAATCGATGCATATGTAAATCCCTCCATTAGCGGGTTCGATCCATCCATTAGCTTTGAATTCCTTAGTTCGTTGAAACGCGGCCGCCCGTTGGGCTGGCGAGTATCGATAAGGAACGCAGCTAATGGGTGGATGATCCCCTGTAAGGATGGTATGCTCAATCACGTTAGACAACCCAATATCGTTATCGCGCACACTTAATACCTCTACGTACCCATTCAAGACGTTAATCAATGATTTTCAAAATTCCAGGGGGATGTGATCCGGCAGAGTGACAGTCGGTCGATCGGGTATCTCAAGGGGCCTGACGATCCAATCAGCAGGCCGATTCTGTCGGTCATGGGCGCTAGAGAAAATACAGCTGCTAGTGCGGACAGAAAATACAGTTCCGATCATCTGGGATTCAACGGGGCTAATCATCTCAGTCTCTTTAACTTCGGCATCGGTTTCCGAATAAGCCGTGGTTTCTTCCACGGTTAGTCCTGTTAAATCTACCATTTCCTGCATCAGATCGGGCACATCGTCGACGGGAACTTCGGCTTCTTGTTTTATCAAAGCGATGGTCGCTCCTGTCGTAAGCAGCGACCTTGGAGGGGAAACAAAAACATCCAGGTATTGTTTCACCTATTGATAGCGTGCTCGGAGGGAAAGTGTGTCCTCGTACAAAGTGCGAGAGGGTTCCAAATCGTCTGCCAGGTCAGATATTTGCAAGATGGGTTCTCCGAGAAAGGTCGAGGGACTGACCTGGGTTTCCATAGGCGCGAGCGCGTTGTCTCCATGACTCAAGTGGAAAGTTTGTGTGGTTCTGGGAACCATCCAAAATTCCTCTGGAGTTTCGTGCTCGAAAAGTTCGACCAAGTGTTTCCATTCATTCTCACTAGTCATCTCTTCTTCACACTACTGTTCTTCGAATCCGCTACTATTATCTGGGGATGAAAATTCCTCGTGATCGGGACCTTGAATCATCCCTATCCGAGCAGAATTAGGATTCCTTTTTACTGTTCGGGTTGAAATCTGCAACAGAACTGTCTGAGGCTTTCCTCCTGTTTGCGTAAGCATCAACTCCTTGGAATCGAAGTGCATGCGAGCACCTACCGCCATTGCCCAAGGCAGTCCCAACAACACCGAATAGGAGTGCACATGTATGACCAAGGCGTTAACGAGGACGTGTACTTGTCCAACTTTCACAGCCACATTCTCAATGACTCCTACGATATTCATTGCTTCCTCGTCAGCAGAGACGTAATTGTCCTTGTCCAATTGAGGGAGAATCAAGTTGAGTCGTCTCGTTCTTTTCACCGTATCTAATGATATAGCGACCGCAGAGGAGTCGGTACCGATGAGGGCGTTAAAATGGTTGTCCCATACTTCGCAATCACATTCAACACTTTTCCACAACACTGGTCGAGCTCAGACGAAATGATCTTTCTCAGCTAAAGAAATTGTAGCCACTCGCGCTGCTTCGGGTTCACCAACTTCAGGTTCAGGCGGTGCAACACCCTCCGCTCCTTCTTCCTTCTTTTTTTTCAACATTCGTTGTATGCGCTGGTATGTAAAGCGCTTTTGATTCTTCTGCTATTGTTGCAGCAGCTTGTCATTTGTTGCTTCGAATATGGTGAGCAAACGTCCCACCGGGACCGGAACGCGAATGTCCAGTTGCTTAAGCGTTCGTAGTACATCAATTTCTCCCATCCGAAACTGTGGTCCGGGGTTAGATTCGTGTTCGACCCATTCAAGATCGTTATGGGCTGGTCGGATTGCTCCGATCATGCCGGCGAGAGGAAGGTATTCGACCGGATCAACCACGTCAGCAGCTTCGGAAGAAGAAGTTTCTGAGGTCGATGCAACTACCATTGAGGGGGAAGGTCGCTCAGGGGCGTACTCAATGATCTCCTCATTTCGGACCGTATCCATTAGTGCAGCTACTCGTCCTTGATTCAGGGCTACGGGGGCTGCGACAAGTGGAGGCTGATTTCGTTTCGGCTGCAGACAGTCCCGGGCAAAATGCCTGGGCTGTTTGCAATTGTAACACTCGATTTTCCTTGCCAGGTTAGTTGCATGACGGAACTGCGGTGCATGTCCAGGTGCAGGCGGAGTAGGCAAAAGCGGGAACGATGCAGGGGTAGGTCGAGCAAAAGCCAGGTTGGGCTTAATTAGCCTGCTCATTATCTGTTCAATTCGATCCATGTGAGCCGCCTGCATTTGGACCAGATTGCTCATCCATTCAGATTGTTTGGTAGTAGCTGTTTGGATCATCTGTGCCAAGTGCATGTTTGTTATGGTCATAGAGGCAGGATCTTAGGAGCTTCTGGGTTTAACAGTTGCTACCTGTTGGTTCATTGAGAGAGTCGGGGGAAGGGGAGAAGGAACTGACGGGATATCAGACGCGGTCCCTTCGGGAAGGTCATGATCAGGCCGGGGATAGAATCGTTCTACCGCTCACAACCATGATCGTCGTTTCGCCGCTACATCTTGAATCGTGTCTGTAATGTCTTTGTCTCCTTGACTGATATACAATCATATACTTCTTTATATCTGTCAGGTCTAACTCCAGTGCTTTGGTGATGATAGCGGATAGCTGGTTCGTTTTAGGGGGGACCTATTTTTGCAGCTTAGCTTTTAGCGTCGGACTCCGTAGATGATCGATGAACAAATCTCCGGCGGACTTTTCATCTCGCCCTGATTTGTCCAACGTAGTTTGGAATAGATCCACGAATTCAGGCAACAACTACCCTGGTTCTTGCGGTCGAGTCTCCTTGACTGATAAACTTATTGATATCCGTCAGGTCTAACTCAAGTGCTTTGGTGATGATAACGGATAACTGGTTCGTTTTAGGGGGGACCTTTTTCTGCAGCTTAGCTTTTAGCGTCGGACTTCATAGATGATCGATGAACAAATCTCGGACGGACTTTTCATCTTGCCCTGATTTGTCCAACGTAGTTTGGAATCGATCCACGAAGCCAGGGAGCAACTCCCCTGGTTCTTGCGGTCAAGTTTTGAGTACATACCAAGCGGCGTCTTCGCTGACCGTATCAACTCTGGCCAAGAACGCTTGCTTGAAGGTGTTCCAATCTACCCATCTGTGTTTCCTAAACCAATCATGCGTCGTTGCGAAGCAACAAGGTGATGACGCGGGGGAGATCTTCCACGGTATATCCTTGAGCTTGGACGGCTTCCAACCAAGCTTCGGGGTGGATGTGATTAGGAAAGAAAGGAAAAGCAGCGGGAATACTAACAATCACCCTGGGGGGAGCTGCGTTGCCGTCGGCCATTGGCATAGCCGGTCTAGCCTCACCAGATCTAGAACTGGTCACTGGGCGATCTCGACGAGCAGGTTGAGGACTTTTCCTACCTTTCGCCAGTTCGACTTATTATCATCAGAACCGACACGTGTCGGCTCCGGTAATAACCTCACGCCCTGTATTGTCTTCCGTTCGGAGTGCTAAGGGTGCGGAAAGAGGGCCCAGGAAAACAGCAAGATGGGGTGTGCCAAGGATTTTTGGAAAATTGAGTGTGGGGGCACAGACAGAACTGAAATCCCCCGTGTTGGCCCGATCGAGTAAGTCGGTTGCTTTCGCGCGTCGCAGAATGCGCGCGCGGGCACGGCGCGAAAAGAGAAAAATCCAAATTCAATCTAAAAAGTATTGTCGAACTTCCCACCGTGTTGTGAATCTTCGTTTAGAGCGGAAGGGCTTCGGTACACTCCGCGTGTCTCGTTTCTGTATCAAGTCCCGACGTCGCTCGTTGGTCAGTTCCGAGTCCGACGTGGAGGGTCTCAGCCGCATGGCTCTTTCCTTGTGCTCGTCTTAACTCCGTATTCGGTAGTGAAAGCCCTTTGATTCGTAGCGATCGAAACGCTGGCACTCAGTACACAGGGTTCGAGGCCAATGGGGTGCCACTGCCGTCCACGGAATGATGATCAGTACTGAGTAAGGTGGGTAGTGCGTATTGACAATGACAAAGCCCGCGTCCACGAATCCAGAACAACGATTTTCAGGAGGGAAGTAATATCGTCCGCCGATCCGTGCAACAGCTTCTCGAACGTCCCACTTGCAACACGTGTCCTTTCCTCGTTGTAAGGGAAGGGGCGCGTTGGCGAGGGAGATATGGGAGGTTGGCGCCCAATCGAGGTACGCCCGTCAGTCCACATGTCAATCAATTGGGATGAATTTCCAGAAACCCTGGGACGTCATCAAAAAGCACAATCGCAAAAACCAACTAACATTTTC